TGAAAACCCAAAATCTCTGTTCCTTAAAATTAATAAAATTTAATCATAATAATAAAAAAATTTCTTGGGCTCTATCCAGGTTATGTGACCAAGGCTGAATCAGCAAGGCCTTGTCCTCCAGGAGAACTCCCAGCCCTGTGCCACCATGCCCTCTGTTAGAGAGGCAGCCAGCGTGAAGTGGACAGGCCAGTGGTTAGCAGTGGTATGGAGGTCATTACCATACTCAGTGGGCTGTCCGTCCCTAGGAAACCCTCTCTGACCACACCCATCCTACCTCATGAAGCAAAGACTTTCAGCCTCTGAGAACAGAGGATAGCAGGAGGTCAGGGTAGGGTGCAGGAGGGGAGGTCTGAGTGAGGGGACAGTCGGGGGAGAGATCAGCATGGGGGCAGAGGAAAGGCTGGACAGAACTTTGAAGCTGCAAATGGCTCTACCCACAGAGGGGACAGCAGTGGGTGGCAATCCTTGCCTGGTCTTCCCCATGCCACACACTGCATCTCTGGCCCTGAGCACATGTGGGCACCACCATGCCACACAACCACTTACCCAGAAAGCACGCCCAGCACCAGGTTCAGCATGAAGAAGGAGCCAATGATGATGAGAGGGATGAAGTAGAGCCAGTTCCAGGTGTTGCCAGCTGCATCATTGGTCTGCAAGCAACCAGAAGAAGGTGAGGAAGGACAGCAGGACAGGACTCATATCTGCAGAGGCCACCCTGAGTTGGGAGCCAAAATAATGCAGACTCTTGGGCTGTGTCCAGGCTCTGGCTTCAGGGCCCCAACTAAGGTTTACTTCTTTGGGAGCAAATCCTGGTGGTGCCCAGGTCAGGACTCGGGCTCCACAGTCAGGCACTTACCAACAAGGTGTGCTCAGCCCAGCCCTTTGCCCGTAATACTGAAGAGTTGAGGAATGTCCCCAAGTGAATACCCCAGCCAATTTGTACCCACATTCTGCTTGACATGTCTCCTGCAGGATGCCTGGGGTCTCCCAGGCTCTGGACAGCACCAAAGAAAGGCTCCTTGAGTGGAGTCTGTCAGACTCCAGTGGCCAAAGATGGCCTCTGTCTAGAGCAGCTGCTGCAGATCAGGGGAAGCTGTGAGTCCCTAGGCCACTGCTGACCAGGTCAAGCAGAATCTCCCAAGTCCCAGGAGAATGGGCTGAGAGGGGCAGAAAATCTCTCTCTGTAGCAGAGGGCTGGAGGCAAAACACAGTACAACAAACAGTTCCTGAGGGAGAGTGAGCATCTGGCAGCTTCCTCTTCGTAGATAAAGTGCCCCTCAAGAGCCCGACCTGTGGCTGTGGAAGGTGGCCTTGTTCTGCCACCTGGGCCCCTGCCCTCTGTTTTGCATCAGCCTCAGCAGAATATTCAGCCTCCACTCCCAGCAAGCAGTGGGCCTCTGGACTGATGCCACAATTCTGACCCCAGACACCTAGCCACTAACCCCAGGAAGATGTCCAGGTGCCCCTTTCTAACTGCAGTCCCTATTTCCTTATACATCTCTACCCACATCCCACACACACTCAACCATCAGCAACAGCTGCCACACGGTCACCAACACCCTCTATATCAGCCTCCCTTCCCGCAGTCTTGGTCATGTAACCTGTCAAGAGTCTCTGGAGGGCACAAATGGTTAATCACTCAACTGGCCAATCTAGAAGCCAAGCTGGGCAGCCTGCTTCTGGATAAGCACAGCCCCGACACTTATACGTGTATGGTCACCACAACTCAAGAGCAACCAGCAACTCATCTACCTGTTGCTCTAGCAATTGTCCCTCCTGATGGACCATTCCCACTCGGCACGAATCTGCTGAAATACTCACATCTTGCAAAAAAGACCTGTGCTTCCAGAAAGATGGAGTCGGTGTACTCTACCTACTCGGTGCAACAAAAACCCTAGACATTATATAGACAGCAAATAAGAGAAGATTGTAATGGGTGGCAAGGGGGAGGGCAAGAATGACTTCTACTAGGATGGAAGGAACCATACAGTGGTCAATCCCCTGGGAGTCCTCCTTGCCTCTTATACTCCAGATTTGGAGCTGAAGGAGTTAGCAACCCAGAATTACCAGCCAGTGCAAAAAACAACATGCCAACTCTTTCTGCATTCTAACCACAAAAATCCCCAGAAGACAGAAAACTGTTAAAATAGACCGGGTTTGCTCTAAATCAAATACCACATAAAAACTGTTCTGGCCTCCATCCTTGCCAGCTGAGACCCAACAGGGAGTCTGGACTTCCACTCCCACCCTCCCCACAGGGGCAGCATCAAAGGAGGTCTGGTGGGGATGCAGGACTATTGTAACTGTTCAGCACTAGTGAGGACATGAATACACACACATGCACACACACCGAGTGGCGGTCATGTGGACACATAACCACAACTTCTAACCACCCAGCCAAGGAACATCAGTAGAGCCTGAAATACTGCCCCCAATAGCATGAAGAGAAACCATCCATGATATTTCAGAGGGGACAGGTGGGGAACCTGGGCTTACCCCTCCATCCATAAGTAACCTACTGGAGCATTCGCCAAGGAACACAGGTAAGACCAAAGGCTTAGGTAAGACCCAAGTCTCATGACCAAACAGCAAAAATGTCGTGAGGAAGACTGGAGAGCATTATGCTGAGGGAACTAACTCAGTCTCATAAGGACAAATACTGTATAAGACCATTTTTTTAAAAATAGACGAATAACTAGTAAAATATGTATGGGAACCCAAGAGGAAAAGGGGTGGGAACTGAGGGGTGAGGGTGGGTAAGCACGAAACCATAGGGATGCACAATTTGGTGGGTGGAGAGAAGGGGTGAAGGAAATGGGAAGGATTGGGCAAAGACCTGAAAAGATTGGGTAATGAGGAACAAGGTCCAATAGTGATTGATTTTATAAGACATAATACATGGGAGTGATTGTATGAAACAGCATGTGAATAAAGAATAATGTGAAGCACAATGTAAACAAACTTTGTGAGCAAACCAATAAAAAAATATTTGAAGACATGATGATCTCAAATGGAGTGACAAAAAGACAATTAGTAAATGCCAACACTGAAGTGACAAAAATGTTAGAATATTAGACAAAGAACTTAAAACAGTCATAACAAAAATATTTCACTGGCCAATCATGAACATACTGGAGATGAATAAAGAAAAAGTACTGAGAAAGAAATAAAATACTTTTATTTTCTTTTATATATATAAAAGAAAGATTTAAGTGGAATATTTTATAATAGTCAAATTAAGACAAAAATCCAAATGAGGGGGAAGGTCCAGTGTGAAAAACAATGTATATGAACTTTATGAACTTTGTATGTAAACCAGTGTAACCTAACTTGAGAGGGACTGAAGAGCATTATTCTGAGTGAACTAACTCAGTCCCACAAGGACAAATACTGTATAAAACCATTATTGTAGAATGAGTATGAGGATATAAAGGAAGGGAGGGTGGAAGCAGATAGGGAGGAGGTGTCAGGGACGAGAGGATTAATCATGGGGTCCTACAATTTGATAGGTGGGGGGGTGAGGGAAATGGAAAGGAGGTGGTATGAAAAACAATGTATTTTAATTTTGTAAATAAACTAGTATAAAAAATAATGTAAAATAGAATGTATATTAATTATCATATGAAATACAATGCAAATGAGAGATTGTAGAAAACAATGGATAAAAAAGAAATAAACCATAAAGGTATTATATGAAAATCAATAAAAAATATTTTTTAAAAATGAAATTATTAAAACTCAGTGGGTTGACTCAACAACAGAATGGATAGGATGGAAAGGTAGCACAATTTTATCAAATCTGAGTAACAGAAAAAACAAGCTGTAGATGAACAGAGCCTTAGGGACTTGTGGGACTATAACTGAAGATGTGATACTCATTTCATCAGAATTCCAGGTGAAAGGAGATAAGATTGAAAAAGTGCTTGAAACAATGGCTAAGAACTTTGCAAATAGGAGGAGAGACATAAGCCTATAGGTTTAATAGGCTGAGCAAACTTCAAGTAAGATAAACTCAAAGAAATCCCTAAGAATACATCTCATACCAAACTTTCAGAAACAGAACCTCAAAAGCAGAGGAAAACACCCCCTTACAATTCTCATCAGAAACCATCAAGACATGAAGAACTGGGTCCAATATTTGTAACATATTGAAAGAAAATACCTCTCATTCTGGGGGGGGGGGAACTCTGTCATGTATGTGAGAAACTGGTCCTTGGAGAAGGACATCACGCTCAGAAGAGTGGAGGGACAGTGCAGGAAAGGAAAAGATGGATTGATACAGTAACTGGGGCAGTGGGGGATGGTGTGTCATAATTAGTGAGACTGGCTCAGGACAGGGCAGGATTCATGGGGTCGCTATTGGTCACAGGTTACTCAACAGCACATAACAACAACAAACAGTCAGAGGGGGCTCAGGTGGCAAGTCTGTAGGGAGGTGTGCTGCTAATCCAAGAGCAGACAAGCGTCTAGTGGTTCAAATGCACCAGCCATTCCACAGGAGAAAGGTGGACAAGCTCCTCCTATGCAATTTACAGTCTCTTAAAACCTGCTTGAGAGTCTGATATGAGACAATTCCAACTTCACAATAATGAGTTTGAGTTCCATAGCCTAAAATTGATTTTTAAAAATGCAATCAAGATGCATTATTGGAATGAGAAAGCTGGAAACAGATAAGTTCAGTAACTGGAAAACAGGCTTGGTGAGAGAGATGATGCTAAAGACCCCATGAGAAAATATTGTAAGCTCAATATTTTATTCATTTGCAAATACTTTTTTAATAACATGAATAATGACTACATATAAGGACTTTGCCAGATGAAATTCACAGGAATCAAGTAAACAGCATCTGAAGAAAGAAGCGATAAAGACTTCAATCAGTCACACAAGGTCAGCTATTTCAATGGCTCATATGCAAGTTAAAGTGAAGCTGAAGCTGGGGGGGGGGGGCGGGGAAGCAGAAAACAGAAAAAAAACATAGCCAGAAACAAGTCCACAAGAGGCAAAGTAAGGCTTTAACAATATCCCATCTGAACATTGCTATTATTACTAAGACAATGTTTTGATACACTGAACACTAATAAATTTAGGCCAAACTCTGGATTGACATCAAAGATATCATATCAAGACAGAAAAAAGTCCTTAAGAATAGAGGGAAGAACAAAAACACAAAATGGCCATCAGAAGAGTCTCTACAGTAATGAAGTCAAGAAGTGCACAGAAGCTATAAAGGGCAGCTTGAAAAGATAAAATATTGTAAGGAAAAATACAAGGACTTAGATAATGAGAATAGCAAGGCAAAGGCCAAGTCTGACTCCCACTATCTCCACAAAGGAGAACTATCTCCATCCATAACATGGAGTACATTAAACCAATCCTTTGGTAGGATATGATCCCCACACTGCTGCACCTACTTCCATTAATCACCAGGTATGGGGTTTATTAGGGAAACAGGTTGTAGGTGCAGAAAAATGCAAAGGGTATCTATCACACAGTAAAAGTCTGGGTTCCTGAATTGTCCAGCAAGCGTCAACTCAGAGTAGCCCCAACTCATCTCTTATGGTTTCATCAGGCAGTGACTTGCCACAGTCTCTCCACAGTGTAGCCAGCTCTCTCCCTTATGTTGGCCCCACAGCTGTTGTTGATGGAGAAG